AAGGCTCAGTTCACTATGAAGATTTAAGTTATTAATGCCTGTTCATTAATATCTTTGTTATCAATACCCTGTTAATACTTGAAGAGTGAGCAGAGAGAGGAAGACCTTCAATGAGGTGGAGTGACACAGTGACTGGAACAATTGGCTCAAACATGGCAGAGACTGTGAGGGTGGCTGAAGACAGGGCAAGGTTTAGATCTGCTACATGCAGTTGCTCTGAGCATTAGCCAACTCAACCACGCTTAATATCAACTAACAACTTGCATTAAATGGTAAAGTAAACCATAAGGCAAAAGTTACAAGCACTACAAGGAGGAACAGACGGGAACACATTAGCAGCAGACATCTAATTCATTCCTCTACCCATGACAGGGAGGTAAGGACACAGAAGACTTAACACAACGTAATTAACGAGATAGATGGCGTGACATTGGCACATACCAAACTCTGAACTTTGAAAACAGAACCACATGTTCTTTTTAAGCCTCCATTAAAAAAAAAAAGTCCACAAAATTCAGAGAAATTATCATAGATTACATCCCAACAAAAAAAAAAATCTCAATAAATATTGAGAAAGCAGATTTCAGGTGGCATTCTCTGAGGAGAGGAAGAAGTAACAAAACACAAAAGTATCTACTACCTGGATGGATGGGGACTCAGAATGAAAATATAAAACATCGAGAAGATAATAATGAAAATGAAAATACCCTTATTAAAGAATTAACACAGATAAAGTATATTTAAAATAAACACCCTAGTTAAAACTGCTAACAGTTCAAAAGGAATTCACGGCTTTAAATTGTCTTTTCTTTGTGTTTATTTATTAGGGAGCTCTGGTAGAGAGTCATGCTGTCAATTCAAAGACACATGGTTCAAATTCAGCAGCTGCTCTTGGGGAGAAAGATGGGAAGTCTCCTCCCATGTCATTTAAAATCTCTGAAAAGCCACTAGAGTGTCAGCTATGAGTTGGTTCTGACTGAATGGTAATGAGAGCAAAGGAATTAAGGGCAGTTTGGTGCAGGAGTCCACACGCAGGGAGCTGTGTTGTACCTTCCTGGCAGTCTGAACCCCCAGGGGCTCACTGGGAGAAAGATTATCTAATCTCCTCCTGTGGGATTACAGCCCTGGAAACCTGCCAGAGGGTCAATAGAATTAGTTTTGATTCAATGGCAATTAGAGTGAGTGAGAGCCATATGTGTGTATGTGTGTGTGTGTATACATATATATGCATATGGACGGTGAACAAGACAAGAATTGATGTCTTTGAATTGTGATGCTTTTTTTTTTCAAGACAGATTTTTTTTAAGTTCTTTTCTATTTGTTTGTTTTATTGTATGTATGTATGTATGTCAGTCATGGACCAGCAGTCAGGAAATCAGAAGATGAATTGCATTGGGAAAATCTGCTGTCAGGGACCTTTCCAGAGTACTGAAAAGCAACGAAATCAGTCTAGAGACTAAGGTGTGTGTGATCCAGGCCATTATCTTCACAATTATTTGCTATGCATCAGAGAGCTAGACAATGACTAAGGATGAGAGAAAAAAAAAATGATGCCTTTGAATTATGGTGCTGGAGAAGAGTCTTGAACATACCTTGTAGCTAAGAAAACAAACAGGTCTGTCTTGAAGAAGGTGAAAACAAGTTTCTCCTTGAAGGCTACGATTTTGAAGCTCTGTCTCACAAACCTTGGGCACATGGCCAGGAGGGACTGGTCCTCAGAGGAGGACATCATGCTCAGAAGGGTGGAGGGACAGTGCAGGAGAGAAAGATCCCAGGTGAGATGGATTGATACAGTAACTGGGCAATGGGGGTAGGTGTGCTGAGAGTCAGAGAGACTGGCTCAGGACAGCGCAGGCTTCAGAGCTGCTGTACATAAGATCGCTATTGGTCACAGGCAACTTGACCGCACATAACAACAACCAAGGTGAATGAATGAATATACCATGGACTGACAAACCTGCCCTGGAAGAAACCCAACGATTGTGTTCCTTAGCGGCAAGGATGGTGAAACTTCATCTCCATATGTTATCTGTTAGGTATAGTGTCACAAAGTACCAGTCCTTGGGAAGACTATAGAGTCCACAAACCCCCAACAAGATGGACTGATACAGTGATTGCAACAATGGGCTTGAGCACGGCCGAGAATGGTGCAATGCGACCAGCTGTCCACAGGGATTCTGTGGCACCCAACAGCAACAACAACTAAAACTGAGAAAAGAAAGAAGCTTCCATTCTCATTGTGAGAAAACTGATAGCAACACTCAACAAAGACTGTACCCCACAAGGAACTAAAGACCAATCACATTTAGGAAATTGAGCAAAATCCTATATAAAATAGTGATTCAATCCAGCACTACATTGTTTGTTACAGATTGAACTGTATGCCATATAGATAAATAGATATGAATTGTATGCCATATAAAGATATCTGTACAGTTTTCTTGGCTCCACAATCAACAATCTTGGTACCAGCAGCCAGGAAATGAAAAGATGAATTGTGCTAGGAAAGTCTGCTGTCAGGGCCATCTCCAAAGTACTGAAGAGCAACAATGTCAGTCTGGAGACTAAGGTGTACCTGATACAGGGCATGGTCGTTGCAATTACTTGCTATATATCAGAAAACTGGACAATGACTAGGGATGAAAGAGAATTGATGCTTTTGAGGTGTGGTGCTAGAAAAGAGTATTGAATATACTATGGAGTGCTAGGAGAACAAACAGGTTCGTCCTAGAGAGGGTGAGACCAGGCTGCTCCTTGGAGGCAAGGATTCTGAAGCTTCGTCTGACATACTTTGGACATGTTACAAGGAGGGACCAGTCCGTGGAGAGGGACGTCACGCTTGGGAGAGTGGAGGGACAGCGCAGGAGAGAAAGACCCTCGATGAGATAGATTGATTCAGTGACTGGGGTAATGGGGGTGGGTGTGTCAGACAATAAGATTGGTACAGGATATAGCAGGGTTTAGGGCTGTTGTACATAGGATCGCTAGGAGTCCCAGGCAATTTGACGTCACCTAACAACAAGAACAAAATATATAAGTCCTAGAAAGATTATTCATTGGGAAATCTACTAATACAATGATTCGTCTCAATGTTGTTATTGTTGTTAGGTGCTGTAGAGTCAAGCATGACTCATAGCGACCCTTTAAACAAAAAGATATGAACATGCTTTATCCTGCGCCATCCTCACACTTCCCGACACAGTAGAGCTCATTGTTGATGTCAGTGTGACAATCCAGCTCGTTGGGGGCCTTTCTCTCCTCCACTAACCATCTTTTCAAGCATGATGTCTTTTTCCAAGGAATAGCCTCGGCTATCAATATGTTCAAAGTATGAAAGATGACTTAGCACCAACGTTGCCTCTAGGAAGCACTCTGCCTGCATTTTTCCCAAGACATAATGTTTATTCTTTTGATCCACACAGTCAAATGTCTTCGCATAGTCAGTAAAACACAAACAGAATTCTTCTGTTATTCTCTGACAACCACAATAACACACCTGCTGCAATGGTTTCTTCTAAGTCAGGTTGAACCTCTAGTAGTTCCCTTTCAATGTACTCTTCTCGTTGTTTTTGAATGATATCATGCTGTGACAGTGGGGGTGTGGAGACACCAGTCTGGTCACACTTGCAATGGGGGTGTCATATATGTCATCTACACATGTCCTCATTCAGAACACACCTATCAAAGTCACACATGCAGAGATGCCTGGCCCAGTATTTCCAGGTGTAAAAATTTACCTCACAGATTTACTCACATCTTCCTGACACATCCACGATTTTTACTGCCATGTTGTTTGTAACAATAGTACCAGGTTGGTAACAGTGTCAACAGGAAACTTATCATGTAAATTACAGCTCTTTTTCACCATGGAAATCTATGTGACTGTAAAAAAGAATGAGGATGCTCTCTGGACTCTGACATACGGCATAGATTGTGAAAGAGAAAGGCAAGGTGTGAGAATGTGTAAAATAACATGTTCACATACCCCCACTCGTTGGACATGCATAAAACATCTCCCCCAAGGATGCTCAGGAAGCTGGTAGCATTGGCTGCTTCTGAGAAGTTGGATAAGAGGGTGGGGAGGAAGGTTTTTGTCTCTATACGCTTTGTTATTCATCTTTGTAAAGATAAGTAAATACTGTAAAAAGAACAGCCATCCTTGTAAGCCCAGTGATAAACGGCAACTGATTCTTGGCTAGGTGAGAGGCATAGCTAAGGGTGGGAACTGAGGTGAACTGGAGATGGATAGGCCCTGCAAAGGGGCAACAGTTCAGTTTTCACAAAGAGCCGGAGTACCGGAACACAGGATTGTAGAACCAGATGCTCGGATTTTTAAAGAGACTAGAAATCCGGAGTTTCAAGCACATCTCCCTTTTTTAAAATGTTTCTGAGCACTTTTATTTAAAAAGAAACAAATGGGTGTTCAAACAAACAATCAGAGTAGAGGATTTAGGATCCCTGTACCAGGTGATCGAGAAGTTCAGAGTTTTGAAGGTCACTGAGTCCAGCTCCCTAATTAGACATATGAAAGCAAAGAGCTCAGAGAGGGGGAGGACCTGCCCAAGATCACACAGTATCTTGGGCCTGAACTGGGACTACTTTCCATGTTGTCCTTTGTAGCCACGAGAACATGACAGTGAGGGCGGCAGACAAAGCACACAGCGAGGATGCAGAGAGCCAGGTGCTGGCGATGGCCAGGAAAGATTCCCCAGCCACCCTGAAACCAGAAGGCCCAGTGGGCAGCAGACTAAGATGGGGGGGTGCCGTTGTGGCGACTGCAGAGGGCAGCAGTGCTGGGCAAAGCCTGGCTTCAGCAGAGTCCAGAAAGATGTAGGGTGTTCCAGACAGGGTGCTGACGGACAGAGAGGCTGGGAGGACACATACCCTTGGCCCAGGTAGCTTTGAGGCCCTGAGGTGGGAGGGATGATAGGGTTCTGGGAAGAGGAGAAAGGTCCCTGTGGACACAGAGGGAACAGAGGAAGGGAGGTGGGTGCACTTACATTTGCGCAGCTCCAGGCTCTTGCTTGGGCAAGCCAAGTGCTGGCCCGGCGGATTCTGGGTCCTCTGCAGACAGGCCAACATGGCTGAGCTCAGGGTCCACGGTGTGTTGCGCTCTACTGCAGGAGCCCTGTGAGGAGAAAAGGAGAGGAAGAGGCTTGTCACACAGGGCCTGCTCCATCCCAGCCTCCCTGGTCACCCACCACTGCTGGCAGTAGTCCCCAAGCCCTCGCATGAAGAACGTGGGAGGCGTTCAAAGCAGATGCACTTTCTCTCCCATATGACAGATGAGATTTGAGGCCTCACAGGAAGGAAGAGTCCAGAGACTGGCGGTCTTTCCCCATGAAGACACTGAGCCCCACTGAGTGTGCACATCTCTCTCTCCTGGGGCCTCCCTGATGGTTCCCTGTACTGGCCAGCTGGGTCTCTCTATCCAACACCGGGTGGCTGACACCTAGTTCTTTTAGAACCATTGTAAGCAGATCTGTTTCCTCGATTGGCCTTGAACTCATCAAAGTCAAAGACCTTGTCTTATTTGATGTCTGTCTGATGGGGGCCTCAGGGGATGATGCGGAGGAAGGCAAGGTCAGGGGCGAGGACAACCCAGCCTTCTTGGGTGTCCAGGAAGGGTTCCCTGGGGGGACAAGGGACACTCCAGCCTGTCTCCTGTTGAGACTGACTTCCACTCCCACCTGCCACCAAAGCTGCCTTGGGGGTGACCTGATATAGCTTGCCATCGAAATGAGGAGGACAGGCCACCCCCAATGGATAAGGTTCAGATGCAAAAATGGCTGAGAAACACTCTAGAAAGCCTGTAGTCCCAGTGGCAGAGTTTGAGCGGGCAGGATCTTCAGTTTAGCTAACCCAGTCTCCCTACTAGCTCCTTCCTTTCTCTGGGGTAAAGAGAAGGTGGGCCCAAGTGTGAGTTCTGCTAAGGGCACTCCAATGTTTATCCATCCCCAAGCTAAAGACCCCCACCCACCCTATTCCATCTGAGGCCTGAGCTGTACCCTAGTACCTACCTGGCCCCATGCCAAGGATCTCCTTCCATCCCCCATCTGAGGCCCAAGCTGCAAAGCTAGGTCAACACAGTCCTCTCACTGGCTTTAAAAAATAGATGAAAGAAGGGGGAGGGGGATGTTGAAGAGGAAGAAAGGGAAGTTATTTAATACTAAACAGGTGTCTGGAGCCCCAAATTCTGCTGCTTTCTTCTGATAATGAAGTATTCATGAGGAAAAGCCTTTTTTCACTACTTTCTTAAGATACTAATTTCACAACAAGCTCCTTGTTACGGGCGCAATTATTCCAATCTTGTATTTCCTCGAGACGGTGGCAGCCTCCGCCTGTCCTGGCCTCACCGTAAATGAAAGACAATCACGTAACCACCTTTCATTATGTTCTATTTTACTTCCAGCAAAGGTACCCTGAAAGAAATGATTTCCTCTGAAAAGGACTTTTATTCAGTTTCAAAACCAATTTTCTCCTATTACTGTCTCAAAACGAGAGAGAGAAAGCGGGAAGGGATGGAGGGGGAGGGGGGCTTGTGCCCCCCTCCCCCCCAATCACCAGCCTTAACGTGGCAGCAGCGCAATAAAAGCTGCAGTATCCACTTCCCGGCTTTGATTTCTGGTAATTTAAAAATATGCCATTACAATCAGGCAGAAATTATACAGCTTTTTAAAAAAAAGGAGTGAAGTGGGGCTTATTGCCGGCATGAAAGCCCTTGACTGCGGATGTGGTGTGGCGACTTGGAATGGTGAGACCCAAGGGGCAAGCCTTGATCAGCCAGCTGCCACCCCGTCCCTGGTCACACTGCCCACCGTGCTTGGTGTCCACACCTGCCTCCAAGTCACTTCTGTGGACGGAGATGTTCCCGCAGACGGGCAGGTGCCCACACCAGCAAAATCATTCATCTCCACTGTCCTGGCCACTGTCCTCCCCCACACATGAAGGCCACCCCACTGGACACATGAGGGCTTGCACACTAGTACTTCTCCAGCACCCTAATCATGCCGAGTCACACCAACTGTGCGGGGTCTCCCAGCCCCTCCCTAGAACCTCATTGCTCCCAGCATGCTTTGCAGATGAGAAGGGCCCACTGGAGGCTGCAGCGTCACAGGTGGGGGTAGGAAGGGTGTTCATCATGAGCCCTCCCTAGACCCTAACACCTGCCTCTGGGCAGGCGTCTTGTTACAGTGCTCCGACAGTGGAAACCCAGCCTGTTCTGGAAGTTGAGTCATCTGACTCAATTCAGGCCACAGTTGACTTCTCAGAAGAGGAGACATCTGAATGGAGTCTTCACCCAGCTTTTCCAGGGCAGCTGCCTGGACAGCCCGTTGCAGACCCCGAGGTCCAGCAGTCAGCAAGCCAGATTGAACTGGAGACACGCAGCCTCACATACAGGAAGTTGCAATGTTAACCCAAAGGTGGTGTGTGTTTCTCAGGTGATTCAAATCCACCAGCAAGATGGACAAACTCCTCCCCTGCAATTTACAGCCTTGGAACCTCAATGGTGGGTCAGCTAAAAGTTAGTTCTGATTCAATAGCAATGAGAGATATACACGGGGCGGGGGAGGATACTGAAGCACACACTCACTGCCCACTCTCTCTAGGCACCACGTGCTCAGGACAATAGATGGTCCAGGTGGGGCCAACTGAGTGTGCAAGGACAACTGAATAGCCACCTTCCTTTCCTCGCTGCCTAAAATAAGACAGAGTCAGTTCCCTCTCCTTGGCCTGACAACTTCTCTAAACCTGAAACAGAGTCCAGCCTTCTCTGGCCAGTACCCTGTTCCTTCCCTCACGCTTCCTCATGACCTTAGCTGGTATGCTGAAAGCCCTCTGTTCATGGCACTGCTACTCTGATCCCATCTGTTAACTCACATCTCGATGCTTTCAGATGCTGACTCGGTGATCCCTTCCTCCAGGAAGCCTTGTCTGACCCGTCAGGTTAGAGATGCCTGAGACTACCATCAAAGCCTTAATCACACCCAACTGTAATGGCTAGTTTTGTCTGTCTGTCTCGGTCTCACTCCCCAGTGTCTGGCAAAGAGTGATTATCTAGTCAATAGGTACTGAATGAATGAATGAATCAATCAATCAATCAATCAATCAGTTATTGCCATATAACTTATCAAGGCCCAGAGAGGGCAAGCAACCTGCACAAGGTCACACAGCAAGCTGAAGATGGGATTGAGGGTACCTCAAACACCCATGATCTTTTGCAGAAGGCCACCCTCCAAGCCCCTCAATCCCTGCCCCCAGCTTCTTACTCCTCCAGCCAGGAACCATCCCAAGAGCAGGCCTCATTTTGAAACCTTATCTGCAAATCAGACTGCTCATAAGCCCAAGGTCTTTTGTGGCTTTAATAATAAAAAGAAGGGGGGGGGATTGGCAGGCGGGGGGGGGGGGAAGAGGAGAATGTCACAAGCCTCAATGACAGACTGCTTTGGCACAGTCCCTGACATGGGGGCCGATAAGGACGTCTTATCTCGGAGACACCCCGAGGAAAAGGTCCCCTCAACCAGATAACTCCCCCAGCTGTCGATATGCCCTTTCATAGCTGAGGATTTAGATAAAGGGAACATAAAGGGGAGGCGGGGAAAGGAAGGAACTTCCCAGTTGGAGAAGAAACTGAGTCTCTGCTGCTAGTCTGGGCAGAACAATGAAGAGGAGAAGGCTGGCTACAGGCTGTCTTTATTTTTCCTAAAAGAGCAGGGAATTGGAGCCTTGGACCTGGGCTGCTATTTGTCATTTCCTCCTCACCTGGTGGCTGCAAGGAGGCATCAGGAACTCCCCAGGCCAGTGGTAGGGAGATGTCAGAATTAACAAGCACACTGATGCAACAATTACTTTCCTATGGGGGAGGGGGGGCAGATCTACTCCTTTATGAGGCTGATGGGTAGGACTCAGAATCAACTCAATTAGTTACCACACAAATAATATTATTACTAGCAGCCAGTACTTGGTGAATGTTCCCTTGTACATCATTCCTCATTGCATGCTCTTAGAAGCTTGGCTGAGGAGAAGCAGGCTTCTTCTTCCAGATACCTTTCACAGATGAAGACAGTCACAGAAAAAGCCAAACCAAGCCAGCTGCCACTGAACATACTCTGACTCTTTGTCTAACGGAGGCAGCCTACTCCTTAAGGTTTTTCTTGGCTGTCATCTTTAAGAAAGCTGATCACTGGTCCTTTCTTCTGCAGCTCTGCTGGGTGGGTTCAAAACTGTCAACCTCTACTTAAGTCAGTCCTTACCAGTGATGGAAGGAAGGAGTTAAAGTCACCACGTATAGTTACTGAGGCCCAGAGGAGTCAAGCAGGCTGGAGATGGGATTGGGGGATGTCCCAAACACCCAGGATGTTTGGGTGATCCCACCCTGCCCAAGGCCACATGGCTTCGAGGTGGCAAAGCCAGGCTAGAACTGAGATTCTAGCTGAAGCATGCATGCATCCTTGCTCCTTTATCTCACAGTCTCCACTCCTGCTTCCACCATGGGAGGCCGTGAGCCCTCAGCTCTTGATCTTTGCTTTAACTTTACCATGAAAAGAGTCGGGGCACACAGAGGGAGAAAACTAGGGTAGGTCCCAGGGGGTCATTTATCCATCCCATTCATGAGGAAAAAGCCCGAGTTAGGCAGAATGATAGAGATGGAAGAAAATGGAGGCTCTGTTTTGCTAAAAGAACTGTTTGGAGGTGGCTGTCATCTGCCCACTCCCTCCCTCCCTCATTCACTCACTCATTCAGGCGGCAAACACTTTCTAGGGCCACTCTGGCCCTGGGAGTACCAACTAGGATTCTCTGACACGAACCCTATTCCCAGATCCAGTCTGAGATGAAAATGGGTTTTCTGTCTCTCCCTCCAGCTTCTACCGTTTCCTCCAAGTGGCAGAAGAGAAAGCAGGTGGGTGAAACTTTCCTCTCCTGTATCCACCAGGTCAGCAGTCTGTCCCTGGCCAGGCTGGCTGGTCTTGGTGCAGGCAGAACGGGCAGGCACAGCAGGGCCAGGCAGGGTGACCCTGTGAAGGCCACAGGATGTGCTAATTCCAGACTCCGCTGTCTCCCTCAAGCCCTGGCACCTCCTT